AGATTTTATTTATTTATTTGTCAGAGAGAGAGAGGGAGAGAGCGAGAACAGGCAGACAGAATGGCAGGCAGAGGCAGAGTTGGAGAAGCAGGTTCCCTGACGAGCAAGGAGCCCGATGTGGGACTCGATCCCAGGACGCTGGGATCATGACCCGAGCCGAAGGCAGCTGCTTAACCAACTGAGCCACCCAGGCGTCCCGGGACTTGAGTTTCTGATGAGGAGGACTGGTAGGGACAGAGTGGGTGGAGCCTTGCATGCCGGGTAGAATGGATCTGGCTTGTCTGCAGGGCACTGGGGAGCCAGGGAGAGTGTGTGAGGAGAGGCAGACTCCTTGGAAAAACCCTCCTGGGAATGAGTAAGGAGCTAGCCCTGGCGGGGGCGGGGGGCTAGTTCTGTGGAGACAAAGGAGGGAAACTGAGGCCCTGTCTGGGGGTGGAGGTATGGACAGGGGCTTTGAGGCAAGCTCCCAGGATCCCCGGGGCTTGGGGAAGCAAAGGTAAAAGTTGGACAGGCTGCAGCCAATGTCTGGAGCACAGTGGCCACTCTGACCACTGTCTCTTCATCTGTGTACCGAGGAGGCCCACATCTCAGTCCCACCCTCGCAGGGAGGTTCAACAAGTAGGAGTCTAAGGGGAAGACTGCCCTCAAAAGAGCCAAAGAGTCCTCGGTGGCAACAAGGGGTCTTGGGTGGGAGGAAGCAGGCCCGGGCAAGGTTTGTCCTTCCGTCTGTCTCACTGACCTTTACCATCTCCTTCCTGCCCTAGTGGCTGAGGAGGCTCCAGGCCCTGAGGACCGAGGTGTGGCCCCGACTGGCCAGTCTGCGAACACGGCGTGGACGAGACGCCCATGGCTCGGACCAGCAGCCAGGCCATGGCCACGCTCGGCCGAACTCCCACACATTTGCCAAAGTGGGTACCCTTGGCCTGCACCCCACACTCATCCTTCCCCGCACCCCACCACCCCCTCTGATGCTCTCTCACAGGCCCACACTGGCACCACACAATCCCTCGTCCACAGGCACTGCAGTGATGTCCCCTGTGGATGCAGTGACATCACACAGACATAGCCATGATGTCACACACTGATGAGGCGATGGCATTTCACAAAAACATGGCGGTGATGCTACACTGCGCAGGGAACACGTTGCCTACAGATACAGAGCACCGGCATCACGCACACACACGGACACACCTTCTGCCCAGCCCTTGCCCGATGTCACAGTCCTCCTGCACGCAGGGGCCCGGGCGCTCACAGCATCCCACCCATCCACCCAACCCATGCCCCCGCCACAAAAGCCCTCCAATCTTCTGGTCTTCTGACTCCTCATCTCCATCTGGGGCCTAGGGAAGTAGAAATGGGAAGACATTAGCCTCCATGCCCCATCCCCCCCAGCCCCCAGGAGAGTCTCCAGGCTCCCAGGCCAGACCACACCCGAACCCAGGGCAAATGTCACCCACTGACCCCAGCACAGCCGGTGAGGGTGGCAGCCCCTGTCCCTCTCCCCCCACACCCAGCCCTGCCTGTGGCCTGTATTAATGTTAGTGGCACTAAATAAATACTGAATCCTTTCAAAGACTCCAGAGTGGTGATTTCTGCTTTGAAAAGACAGGTCCTAGCAGTGCGGGAGAGAAGACCTTGTAAGCTAAGACCCTACCCCCTGCCCCCAGCACGCCCCCAGGGCCAGAAGAGCCTGCAGCCTGGACAGAGCCCTCGGAGACACCAGCTTCCCTCAAAGCTCTGAAACCACTTTTTCCTTTTTTTTTTCTTTTTTTTTTTTTAAAGATTTTATTTATTTGTCAGAGAGAGAGAGGGAGAGAGAGCGAGCACAGGCAGACAGAATGGGGCAGAGGCAGAGGGAGAAGCAGGCTCCCTGACGAGCAAGGAGCCCGATATGGGACTCGATCCCAGGACGCTGGGATCATGACCTGAGCCGAAGGCAGCTGCTTAACCAACTGAGCCACCCAGGCGTCCCTGAAACCACTTTTTATATAACTGCTATTTGGGGCACCTGGATGGCTCCTTCGGTTAAGATGTTACCTTCAGCCCAGGTAGTGATCCCAGGGTCCTGGGATCGAGTCCCGCATCGGGCTCCTTACTAGGTGGGGAGTCTGCTTCTCCCTCTGCCTCTGTTGCTCCCCCTGCTTGTGCTCTCTCTCTCGGACAAATAAATAACATCTTAAAAAAAAAAAAAAAAAGCAGTTTCTTAGAAAACAGGTTGTCCATCTGTGGCTTTCATCTCCCTATGGTTTGCGACGATTTCCCCTCAGCAGTTGCTGAGGCAAGACAGCCTGTCATGGACTAGAGGAACACCTCCTCTCCAGAACGGCTCCAGGAACAGTGTCACTAAAGGCTCAGGGCATTTGTTTTGTCTTCTTTTGTTTTGTGGTGAGATGAGACGTCAGAAAGGGCACCAGGGTCCAGCTGGGAACTGCTTCAACATACTGATCACTAAATTTGTGGGGGAAAACAGGAAAAAGTGCATTAGAGGAATACAGGAAAATCCCACTGAACCCATTAGACCAGGAAAAAGAAAAAAGTTTAAAAAGCCATAATACCTACTGCTAGTGAAGATGTAGAGAAAGGGCATTTTCCTACAGGACTGGTAGAAACACAAACCTCATCATAACCCTTCTGGAAATTAGTTTGGTGATATTTCATTAAAGTAAAAGTGCAGAAATCCTTCAACTCAGCACCCCCATTTCTGGGATTTTATTCCTGAGAAGTAAGAACTCCAAGAAATAAAGCAAATGCCCATCCGTAGAAAAGCGGCCTAAAAATTATTATCTAGAATCTCAGCTTGTCATTTGCTGTCTCCACCCCAACCCCCCACCTTCCCCACCCAGCCCATCCCCCGGGACCCTAGACAGGGAGGGGATGACTCACAAGGAGACAGGGCTGGCAACGCCACGCTTAAAGCAGGCTAGTCAGGAGGGACAAAGGAGCGATATTTCCTGGATACGGAAACTCGGGTGAGAGACGCCTGCTGCAGGAAACACTCGGCTGGGGCCCCGCCAAGCCAGGGCAAGGGGGTCAGCCAGGCCAGGCCGCCCAGACGGGCCAGTCTGCAGGCCCCAAGGAAGCAAGGACATCCCTGACCCTCAGCCTACTGGCTGGGCAACTGGAGATTTGGAAAGCAGGGTGACGCCAGCCCGTCCCAGCAACCGCAGGATGTCTGAGTTTTGGGTTCAGGAGACAGACCTCTCTGAATGCAAATCTTGACTCACTTGGTTTCAGCCTCCATTTTCTCATCCGAGAAATAATTATTCTAAACTTTCTGGACGCGTGGACACAGGTCTGACTTTTGGTTGGTCTCTTCTTTTCAGAGTGTCCCAGGATATCATCCCTCCACCTGGCCCCCATGACCAACCCTGCTGGTCCAGAGAGACTTTTCCATCATGGGATCTAACCATGTCCCTCTCTGGTTCACACACCTGCTGTGGCTCCCCATTACCCTGGAAACAAAGTCCAGTTCCTCAGCTCTCTTGTGTCCCCCTGCTGCCACCCCCCACCCTGCTGCCCCCACCTCCAGTGCAGCTCTTATGTCCAGCTGTCTTGGACCTTTAAATCTCTGGCTAAAAACTCTCTCTTAATTTGTGCTCTCAGACTAGAATGCCTTTTTCTTCTTCCTCCAAGGCCCGCCCCCAGAGATCCCTCCTCCAGGCAGCCCTCTTGATTGCCCAGGTACTGTCCTTGCTCCTGCAGGGGGCATCCCCATCTCCATCCCTGACCATGTATCTCTGACTCCCCCAGGTTGGTGGCTCCCCTGGGGGCAAGCGGGGACCTGTCAGGGAGCAATTTACAGACCACCTCCCTGACCTTGTGGCCCAGCCACTGGGTGAGGTTCTGACTCTTTAGGGATTTCCTGTGACCTCTATAAATAATCCCCATGGCTGCTTCCCACAAACCACCTCACCCTTCTTGGAAAAAAGGGAACGTAGCCAAGGACCTCAGTCCAGCTGTGGGCCAGGGCCTGGGGGAGGCGGGTGGGGCCCAGGCATCCTACCCCAAGAACGTCTCTCTCCCCACCCAGACGCTGCTCACCCCTCCCCAAAGCCCTCTGGACCCTCCTGATGTGGAGAACAACTGGACAGCCAGCCCCACTAAACCTATGGAATTGCGTCTCTCCTCTGGGCCTGTTTGTATTCCCAAAAAATAGATATAATAACAATGTTCATGGGCTCAACTCACCAAGTGACCCTTTCCCTCCAGGAGCCCTCCATGCTGCATCAGCCCTAGCTGCTGAACAAGCATACAGATCGGTAGTGGTTTATTGCAACGAAGTCCTTGAAGACGCAGGCTCATGAGCCCCCCTTTGGTTTGGGGGGGTGGTATTCTAGATGCCTCCTGGACATTCTCTTCATACCTTTTGTTGGCCCTGGATACCTCCCAGCCTCTGCTCACAGGTGCCCTAAAACCTGAGAGCTTGTATCTTTTTTTTTTTTTTTTTTTTTAAAGATTTTATTGATTTATTCAACAGAGAGAGAGATCACAAGTAGGCAGAGAAGCAGGCAGAGAGAGAGGGGGAAGCAGGCTCCCTGCTGTGCAGAGAGCCTGATGTGGGGCTCGATCCCAGGACCCTAAGATCGTGACCTGAGCTGAAGGCAGAGGCTTAACCCACTGAGCCACCCAGGCGCCCCGAGAGCTTGTATCTTTGATCATTGGAGGTAAGACTCTTTTTCTGATTCTGGAAGGGATTCTGACCCTATTTAAGATTGTTTCTGGGGGTGCCTGGGTGGCTCAGTCCGTTAAGCATCTGCCTTGGGCTTGGGTCATGATCTTGCTGTCTTGGGATCAAGACCCGCATAGGCTCCCTGCTTGGCAGAGGGCCTGCTTCTCTCTCTCTCCCTCTGTTGCTCCCCCTTGCCTGTGCTCTCTCTCTCTCTGTCAAATAAGTAAAATCTTATTAAAAAAAAAAAAAAAAAAAAAAAAAGACTGCTTCTGCCTGTGGCAAGGGACGTTAACCATTCCCCAGCTGCCAGGTGGGCGTGGAATCCTGGATCCCAGCGTCCACAGAGGGCGGAGCTTTGATGGAAGCTGCCAGGACCTTCTTTTGTTAGAGGAGGGCGCCCTCTGCTGGTTCGTCACCAACATATCAGGCGCCCGTGAGTCTCAGAATCCAAGGCCTCAACACTAATTCAAAGGGACACATGCAGTTCACAGCAGTATGATCTACAATAGCCAAATCATGGAAGCAGCCCAAGTGTCCGCCAACAGATGAATGAAGAAGATGTGGCATATATATACACAATGGAATATTATTCGACCGTGAAAAAGAATGAAACCTTGCCATTTGCAACGACATGGACGGAGCTAGAGTGTATAAGGCTAAGCGAAATAAGTCAGAGAAAGACCAATACCGCATGATTTCAGTCATATGTGGAATTTAAGAAACAAAACAAAAGAGCAAAGGAAAAAAGAAAGAGAAATCAAGAAACAGTCTTTTTTTTTTAGATTTTGTCAGAGAGAGAGAGAGCAAGCAACAGGAGCAGAAGGCAGAGGGAGAAGCAGACCCCCTGCTGAGCAAGGAGCTCGATGCAGGATTCGATCCCAGGACCCCAGGATCACGACCTGAGCCGAAGGTAGCTGCTTAACCAACTGAGGCACCCAGGCGTCCCTAAGAAACAGACTTAACTATAGAGAACAAAGGGCTGGTTACTGGAGGGGAGGTGGGTGGGGGGATGGGTGAAATACGTGATGGGGATTAAAGGGTGCACTTGTCATGATGAGTGCTGAGTAATGTATGGAAATGTTGAATCACTATATTGTACACCTGAAACTAACATAACATTGTATGTTAACTATACTGGAATTAACATAAAAAACTGAATAAAAGAAAGCATCCAAAAAAAAAAAAGAATCAAAGTCCTATTAATCAAGATCTTCCCTCTCTTCCTCTACCCATCTCCCTCTTCTCTTCCCCGCACTCACTGCTTCACCCCTACAGGCCACCGGCCACCTCGATATTCCTTGAATACATTATGATGTTCCCACCTCAGGACCTTTGCACATGCAGTGCCCTCTACCTGGGACACTTTCACCAACCTCCTCCATCTGGCTTCCTTCTCACCATTCGGCTCTCAGTACCAATGTCGCCTCTGCAAGGCAACCTGCACTCACATCCCTGAGCAGGCAGGTCTCCTCTTCATCATAAGCTCACACAACAGCCATTAGACCTCACCATCAGGAACTAGGTCTCTAACGCGGGCAGGGGCAGCACCTGTCACAACTGGTCCCCTCTAAGTCCCCAGCATCCTGCACTTCTGTTGCACAGAAGGCCTAGGGCAAACTCAGAATGGAAGTCTGAACAAACCCACGTACAAATCCCAAAGCTGGGGTTGTCCGGCAACTAAATAATTCTCTGAGCCTTAGTTTCCTCATCTGTAAAACTATAACAAGATACTTACTGAATTGTGCTGTTATGAAAACTCAATAAAATGATGTGTGCGATTCTAGCATATAGTAGGTACTGAAAGAATGACTGTGTAAGCTTGGAGGCCACAGGTGCCCAGGATCTTGCAAGTCTCTTTTCAAATATAAGAGGCAAAGCTTCCAGGTTAATACCAAAAAAGGGAACGACAACTTGCAGAGCAATAAACACACACTTTATGGACAAAATACAAGACAAAATATATTTCACAGGTGTATCCACAAATAAAAGAGCAGAGAGAATTCTGGACCAACACAAACTGTGACCCCAAGGGATGGGGGGGGGGTTCCATGTTTAAGCATTTCTGAATCACCTGAATTTTTTTATATTCCTTTAGTATTTGCAAAGTAAATTAAAAAACGCAAAACAAAGATCCCTGAGGCCCTCCCACCCCATCCCAACCACCCACTCCTACTCCCCCAGCACAGGAAGCCAAAGGGACCTTCGTTGAGCTCCACTCCAGGGCTGGAACCCCTAGCACGGCTGGCCGTAGCTTAGTCACTGCCAGCAACAAGGAGCTCACCACCTCTCAAGGCAGCACTCTGGTTCATGGTTCTGGGGTCAAGTTTTCTCCTGGAGATGAGATTCTCACTTGGCCTAAGCTATTCCCACATGCCTCAGGGCTTCTCACTTGCCCACGCAGAAGTCCCGAAAGATGATGTCCAAGATCTCCTCGGTGCTGCCTCCGCCGGTGATGCGGCCCAGGTGACCCCGGGCAAGTCGCAGCGCCTCAGCAGCCAGGGCTAGGTCTTTTGTCTGCCTGTAGTGGCCAAGGGCATCCAGGCAGCCCTGGAGATGATGTTGGTGCCTTGCACGCGTCAGAAGCGGTGGGCCTGTGGACGGGTCCCCACACCTGGAAGAGAAAAAGGATGCGATCTTTCTCAACTTTCTTAACTACCATTGAAGGGGGATCATCACTTGCATTTTGTAGATCCAGAAAAAGAGCCTTGGGGGGCGGGTAGGCAGCCCAAGCCAGTGGCTCAGCCCTGACTTGAACTTGGGTTGAGGCAGTTTGAGCGACAGGGACAGGCAGAGGCGGGGCGGGGGAGCCGCTCACACTTCAGCCAGCTCCTTCCTCAGTGCTTCCAGGAGATCATCCAAGCCCTCTCCGGTCAAGCAGGACAGCAGCAGGTGCGGGGGCAGGTTGGGACTGGGGTCTGGGCCCCCTGGAGGCAGTAAGTCCGATTTGTTCAGCACCAGCAGGAGGCGCCGGCTGCTCTCATTGGGGCTCCCAGCGCCTGCGGGGGCGACAACGGTATCCAGGAAGTTGCAGCTGGACGGAGAGGCGAGGTCAGAAGCATCCAGCACCGCCAGAATGAGGTCAGCCTGCTCCAGCCTGGGGGAACAGGGAGAACCAACCAAGTGACCCCGGAGTTGAGCAAAGGCATGGGGGTTGGGGGTGACCAGAGGGGCGGGGCTTGGCACGTGGGTGGGGGCGGGGCAAGGTGGGTGGGGCTTGGTACATGGGGGCGGGGCAAACCAAGAGGGGAAGGGCAGGAACAGGGGCTGAATTTAAACCTCGGCTCGCCCGCACTCAAGAGGCTTCAGCAGGTTTTCCTGACTCAGGAGGGACACAAAATAATTGCAGCAAGGCAAAATGGAAGTGGAAGGGCTGTTTACCCATCCCACCACCATATCAGCCTACCTCTCCCTGGCGCGCCGCACGCCCTCCTGCTCCACAGGCCCCACGCCCTCACGCAACCCCGCCGTGTCGCTCAGCAGCGCCGGGAATCCGGCCAGGTCCACGGGGATCTCCAGCACGTCGCGGGTGGTCCCCGGCTCCGGGGATACTATGGACACAGGCTTCCGGCCTGGGACGGGATTGGGGGTGGATATTATCACGAAGAGAGCGGGGTGGAAACCAAGGAACCTCCCTGCTGAACTAAGTTTTCATCCTCCTCACTCCTCCCGGCCCCGCCCCCGACACTAGGCCCCGCCTCCACCCGCCTCCCACGCACTGAGTAGGTTCACCAGGCTGCTCTTGCCAGCGTTGGGGGGTCCTGCGACCACTACGTGCGCTCCTGAGCGAAGCCTCTGCCCGCGCCTGGCATCTCGAAGATGTGCGCTCAGTGCCAGCTCCAGCTCCCGCACTTGGCTGTCAGCTGTGGATGGAAGAAAGGGAGGGGAAGGAGTGGGGCCTCGGAGGGCTATGATGCCAGGCGTCCCCAACCCCTGGGAGGACCCACCTTGCTCCAGGACGCCCTCCTCCAGGTTGTCATCCTCACCAAAGTCGATATAGGCCTCCACATGAGCCAGAGCCTGAGGGGTGGGGGTGGGGGCAGAAGTGGTGATGGGGTAACCCAGGAACCCAACCCCCCAATGGGCCCAGGTCGAACCTGACCCAAGAGACCAGACTGGAGCCGTATGCACAGGAAGCTCCCACGCACCGAACGGGTAGGTGAGGTCTCTGAGGCAGGGAATGGGCGAAGAGGGGGCTTGCCTTAGTGAGAGTCTTGGCCCAGCCATGGCAGAGGTGGCCCAGTTCCCCGTCCAGCTGCCTCAGTGCCTGCCGCCGCTGCGCCTCGGTTTCTGCGTGAATTAGATCTGCCAGCCCCTCCACCTCGGTCAGGCTCAGCTTCCCGTGAGCGAATGCCCGCCTGGTGAACTCTCCAGCCTCGGCCGGCCGCAGCCCTGGCACACTGCCTGCGGGAAGGTACTGGGTCCTGAGCTCCCTGGCCCCCATCCAGGTCCACTGGCAGAGCCAGACTTCGAACCCAAGGCTACAGACTCACCCAGGGCCTGCAGGACGCCACTCACCACCGCTGGGCCTCCATGCACGTGGAATTCCACACAGTCCTCCCCCGTGAAACTTTGGGGACCTAGTGTGGCGAGATGGGAGTCAAGGAGAGTACGGCTAGGCAAACGCCTGGGGGGTGGGGGAGAGGAAACTGGGTCATGAGAGCTACAGTAGGTTCGGGATCTGGAACCCCTCACCTGGGAACCAGAGCACCAGCGCGCGGTCCAACGGCTCCCCGGAACGGGGGTGGCTGAGCAGGCGCAGGCAAGCGCTTCGAGCCGGGGGCAAGTCCCGGGGTGCCGTGAGGCTCCGGAGGGCGTGGCCGCTGGCGGGACCGCTGGTCCGGATCACCGCGATGCCGCAGCGGCCTTGGCCGGAGCTCAGCGCGAAGATAGTGGCCCCGGAACCGGGGGCCGGGGCGCCGCTGCCCTGGCGCGTGCACGATCTGGGACTGGAGAGGGGAAGAATCAGTGCCTCTGGGAGGCTCTGTTGCCGAGTGGCACGTGGATAGGGCGCTCGATGTTCGGAAGATGGCCCCGGTGGAGGTTCTTAGCTGGGGGATGGGCAGATTGGAGCGTCTGAGGCCAGACGGTGACCCGATTAAGGTCTCCGGGAGCAGAAGTTGACCCAGATGTGGGTCTGCGACAGGGGGATGGATATATTGTGAGGGTGAGGGCGCTGATGTCGAAGTGTGATCCGAATGGGTACTCTGAGGCCAACAGATGACCCAGATGTGGGCTCTGCGGATTGGGGCTTGGGAAAATGCGAAAGGTGGCTCTGCCCCCAGGGAACTGGGACCCAGATCCTAGGGAGAGGATTTGAAGCCCAAGCAGCACCCCACGCTGTCACACCCGTTTCCCGTATCGCCCCACCTGCGAGGCCCACGTGCGGCCCGGGCTACTAGGGTCCACAACCCCCGCCACATGGATTCACAACCAGCGACCCGCCTACCCGCTCTGCCTGGGCGGCTTCTAGTCCTGACAGGAGGCTCCACCCACTCCGCGGCGTGATTGGTAAACTGCTTAACGACTCTCGATTATCATTGGGCTCCTTAGGAGGCGTACGGCCCACCCTCTGAAGATCTTCGTTTCTATTGGCCAGTGGCAGGGAAAGAGGCGGGGAAGGGGCTGGACGCGGGGGTGCAGCGAAATGGCGTTCCCCCGGCAACATTAGACCGAATTTTTAGGATCCTAGAACCGCGGGTATCCCAGACACCGGAAATGAGGGGTGGGAGGAAGAACCCGGCTTGGCCCAGGGCCGTGGGAATTACACCGAGGCGAGGGTGCCCAGGGCCGTGGGAATTACACCGAGGCGAGGGTGCCCAGGGCCGTGGGAATTACACCGAGGCGAGGGT